TCTTTTTTTTTTTTTCTTTCTTAATCCGATTAGATTTTTTGTTCTTAGATTTCAATAAAATATATACATTATTTACTTAAGGTATTTTTGTTGTTTCTACAGTCGAAAGTTCTTTTTTCCTCTATCTAGGTTCTCTAGACACTTCAAACCTGTTGCTCAATTTGAACCTGAAAAACAGGGACAGGTTATCTAAGCTCTTCAAAAGCATATATAAGTATAAAAAATAAAATAATATTAAATTGCTTTCATCTGGATATGGTAGTTACTCCAAACTGATAAAGTATTCTTCTTGGACTGTACAGAAAATACGATTCTACCAGTGTTTTTGAAGCAGGGAATAATTTGTTTTAAGAAACTCTTGTAGCCTATTCTATAACGACGATTAAACACAGCCAAAATACATGGGTTGAGCGCGCTGTTGCTGTGTGCGAGGAAGAAGCGGAAAAACCTCGTTTCACAAGACAGTGGCCGAGGTAAGATACTCAAAGCAAAAAAATACATAAACCAACACAATATGAAACAGACTAGGATTACAATCAACATGTTCAGCAGTTTTTTTGATGCTTGTTCCCGTCTTGCCTGCGCTGTGTTGTTGAAAACTACCTTTTTTCGTCTTAATTTCAATATAGACACGGAATAAAGAAGCATGATCAGGAAGAAGGAAAAGCAATAAAGACCCAGTAAAAAGTAGTAGTATAACTCGATATGCCTTCCAAAGAATTGCTGTAGATTGCTGGAGCAAATTATGTCAGAACCTATGTTTTTTAGTACCGGCGTAACGACATACGGACTGCGAAGGATGGCCGAGGCGAGCCAAATAACAACAAGCATGGCTTTTCCGATACTTCTCGTTACAATGTTACGTAATGGGAAGACCATCGCGAAAAACCGATCCAAAGTTGCTCCAAGAATAGTAAACACAGACACGAGGATGGACATGTGATGTAGGAATGGTACAGTTCGGCACAGAATCAGGCCAAATGTTCCTGTAACAAGCCACGAGTTACCATACAACATCATCACCACCATTCTTGGCATATACACCACTGTGACAACCAAGTCCGCTATGGCCATGTTGAGCAGAAAAAAGTGGACATTACTCCTATGAAGCCGACCTCTGAAGACCACTGCGATAGTCATGGAGTTTCCCGCCAGAGATACCAGTAGTATGATAACATAAGCAAGTACTTTTAGAAAAGATCCCTCACCAAAGCAGAGCACACTGGTAGTGAAATTGACGGAAGAGTTTTCGTTTTGAGTCATAAACAAACCAGACATGTTTTTGCGTGTAGACATCGTCATTTAAACAAGCAAGGCTTAAAAATGGTAATCAAAGTGCTACTCGTCTTCTTGGTCTTAGAAAGCTTTGAACAAAAATTACGAGGATCTCGCCAAGTTTCTCACTACTTGACTCTAAAGCAACGCGTCCTTGGACGGAACTTATCGCTTCGAGACAGAAGGCGACAAGTTTATTTACAGCCTTATTCCTACTGTGCACTGAGGTCTAATTTGGAGAGTATCCTCTCAAAAATGGACCCCTAGAGTCAAACATTTTAAACTTCAAAACGACGCCGGCTTCTAGAGAACTCTTTTATTGAAAAATCACTTAAACGTTTTAAGGCAATCCTAGTTTTCTAACGCTTTCATTCCCCTTGCTGTTAAATTGGGCTTGAGCGAAATAAAGCCGGGTTTTTTCTTCTTTTGTTTAAGGAAACTAAATGAATTAACCGAATTAACTAAATGTACTGAATTAATAAAGATATAAAATCACGTAAATTAATAATGACTTATGTTTGATATTAGCAAGGAGTTGAAGTTTATTAGGGTCTCCAACTTTTTGCTGTAACTGAAATTGGACTATAGCGAGGAATGTTTTTTTCCTAAATATACTTTAGATGAATTACAAACAGTACGACTACATCAACCAAGTCCACCCAAACAAATTTCAAATCTTTTTTTTTTTTTTAACATATTTATTCTCTGCATTTTCTCCTTTCTCCAAGGGCTTAAAGCTCATCTAGGGAGATTACACAGCACGAGTTTTAATTCAAAAAATTTTAAATCAAATTAACAAATCACGTTTTAAACGCTGTGTAACAGATAAATTAGTGAATTCTGGATTTTAAACTGTTTCTTGTTCACTTCTGATCATACACACACTCGTATAAAGTAAAATATATGACTTTAAAGAGAAAAATGTGAAAATTTATTGTCCACAAACTATTGTTTAGATACTCAATCGTGATTGGATAATTTCAGGGTTCGTGCTGAGATAACCACTTAAAATTCAAGTACTATTCAAGGAGTATACAAGGACCCAAAAATGAAATTTCAAGGAGTATGTTCAGCTAAATATGCCAAGGTTTTACACGGTGGTTGCTACTTCCGTAGCTTTCCTAATTTTTGAGTTCTGAATTTTTTTGTGGGAAGCTTCGTTTCCGCCATTTTTTTCATTTAAAAGCTTGTCAAGATGGTAATATACGAATCAATATCTCGAAAACGAGAGCGGGATACCCTATTTTTGGAACCAGCATTAAATTTTGTATAAAATTTTTTTCTAAGAAAGTTTCCTAATTATTTATTTCTTTAAAGCAGTCAGTCACCAAAATTTCATATTCTACTAAAATTTAAAGTTAACGCTAACGCTATGTAGTTGAATGCAAATAAGGACGATTCGCCATCCCATTCACTCATTTCTTTTTCTTTCTTTTTTTTTTCTATTGTGTTTTTACAGGGGTTTTTTTTTTTTTTTTTTTTTTTTTTTTTTTTAAAAAAAGGTAAATTATACATCATTAAATAAAACAGAAATACGAATAACGAATAAGTATCCATTTCCTCTTTGAAAGATACTAGAAAACTGGGTGTATAAAAACAAGATGACGTGAATTCCAAAGATTAAAGCTCATGTTATTTTTAAAGAAATAATATTTCGCGTGATCACGGAAATGTTAAGACGAAAACATATAGACATCACCGGTGATCCAACAGAGCAAACAGAGTTAAACCCAGTGAGACGCACRACATAAAACGCATACCGCACGCTTGCAGATATAATAGACCTTTCAGAATTCGCTTGAGTGACCACATGATGAAGACTTTACTTATGAGATGCCAAAATCAGTGTGAGATTATAAAATATGTCAATTATTATTTATAAGGAATACCGCATACCGCACGCTTTCAGATATAATAGACCTTTCAGAATTCGCTTCAGTGACCACATGATGAACACTTTACTCATGAGATGCCAAAGTCAGTGTGAGATGATAAAATGTGTCAGTTATTATTTGTAAGGAATACCTTTAATGCTCAGTGGGCGAAAGAAAAAGACGACATCCATCATGTATTTTGCATGTATATTATTAGAAATATTATAACCATGGATAACTTTGAGCAAGGATTGGTACAATCACAAAACACGCTTGTCTGATATTTTCGAATCCGAGTTGAAAAGGTTCGCGATCGGAGCACACGACAGTTGTAATATACAATCGAACCATCGCTAAGGGAGATAATAGAGTAAAAGCACGTGGCAGCTTTAAATAAAGGTTTTAAATTAGTGGAAAATCCTCTTTGGAGCTTTGACTTTTTTTTCTTTTCCATTTGCACACCATATAGACACTTAGGTTTCTAGTGGTATGCATTAGTAAGAAAACCCCTGTGTGACTCGCACTATTTTGCTGAAATATAAAACTCCGTTTCCCTTGGATTAAAATAATAAAATGCTTACCTTTAAGTATCTTTTGGATGATTTTCTCCGCCAGTTTCAAAGGATCCTCAGTCTTAGGGACTATGATGAGATCGCCTGCATTTGGAGTGATATTTGGCAGCTCGTTAGGATCGGCTTCGTTACCGATGGCGATAGGGATCACTCTGACCCCATCCTGATCCAGTGGCTCACTAGCTTTAATCAACACGTCTTTGCCAAGTCCAGATCCCCTTTGAAAAAAAAAGTGAAGTGAAGTGAAGTGAAGTGAAGTGAAGTGAAGTGAAGTGAAGTGAAGTGAAGTGAAGTNGAAATGAAGTGAAGTGAAGTGAAGTGAAGTGAAGTGAAGTGAAGTGAAGTGAAGTGAAGTGAAGTGAAGTGAAGTGAAGTGAAGTGAAGTGAAGTCAATATTCACCATCAATGTAACAGAAAATGACTTCAACCTACCTATCAGCTATAACCACCAGAATTTTCTTCGCACTTGGCCTCACAGAGGAACTCAAAAATAACTGGCGAGCTTGTTTCAAGGCTTCATCAATGGAAGGTCCGCCGTCCCGTCTCGGCAGAGAACTGATGTGATCCCTCAGTCGTTGAGCGTTCGGAAACGTTTCGGAAAACCGAACAAATGTTTTAGGTGTGGCGCCAAAGACGATGATGCTGTAATGAATTCGTTCAATTCCATGTTCTTTGATTATCGTATTGATTGTGTCTTTCATTAATTGGTAGGTTTCGGCTGATGAAGCGGAGGTCGAGCTGAGAGCAAATGCCAAGTCGATCTCGGGAATAACTGCAAAAAAAGCAGAATTTTGATATGAGCGAGAAACGATAGGGCAAATTCCTAGTCGTATTGTAGCAATACCGTAAATTTACCGTAAACTTATCTAAACCTTGTTTTTGGATAAAGCTAACGAAAACAATAGGACGCCACTTCACTGTTATGAATTACATGTCGTACCATATACGTGCTAGAAAATTTTTCAAATGAGTGTGAACTTGATGTGTTCTAGAATTTTGATTGGCTGATTTTTTTTTGGTCTGGCAGTGACGTGACCTTAGCGTGACCGTGTTTCGGGTATTTGATTGGAAGGAGATTAAATACTCGCGCAATCTGATTGGTCTGGCATATCCCTTGCCGTGTCACGACCGTGTTATGGAAACTGCTCTATAAGTTGGTTCCGTAAGCCGGTTGTCTAGATAGAATGACCTAACGTGCATGTTTTCCTGCCCAAGCTCGATGCTCCGTATCCCCGACCACACCCACCAGGATCAACCAGTATTACTA